ACAACAGCCACGGACATACAGATTTGTCTAAACAAAGAAGAAGAGGCAGGGAGAAAAGACAGGAGGAGGGCATCTGTTGCCATGATACTGACAATTTTGTCACTCACCAAACAAGCTTATCAATATATAAATGTCTCTCCTTATCAATTTCACTTGATGGCCTCTGCCTGCTAAAGAATGGCAATGGCACACAAACAAAATCTAACTATAATGCATAGTTTCTAATGGATGAAAGCTGCTGCCTAACGTGCCAGTATTTCAAATTTAAATGCTCGAGTATTATTGCCAAACATGAATTCATGACCAGATGCGTTTCAATTTAAATCACTAATTGCGATCTAAAGGCAATATGTTCAATATATTATGCAATCTGCATGAAATAACCTTTCATTTTCACTGATCATAATGGGGATGATTAAATGACTGCACTGTTTTGCAGGAAGTGCCATTTAAAAGCATAGCTTGGTTTCTACAAATTATGTTAAGTAAAGTAGCAAATAAGTAATGTCGACACTCCCCATTTGTGCTCTAACCTTGGCAGATCTGGTTTCTTGTGCACCACTAAAATGGATTGAATCCCAATCAATTCTCTAACTAGTCTTCATTCTCTTGGAGAGCATTTTAAGTGAGATTTGTTGTGAGTCTTGCAGCTTTGCGTCATTGTTTATGTCTGCTAAGTGCACCTTTCTCAGTTTTCTCACTTTTATACTGCTTTTGTAAAATTCACTCACAGACTATTATTAATTAATTACTACTATTATTAATTGACACCTAAGGATGTTCACTCATTTCCTTTTTTTTAATCACCTGTTTGAATGAACAACACTTTTGTGATTTACTAGTAGGCCATGCTACTACATTTGAAAAGTTCATCACTGCAAACACGACTCTGTTGACTGCAGTGCACCGTTTGCTCTGCTGGCTAGAAGGTCTCTTACTTTACAGCACCTGCAGCAAGTGGATTTGGGGTTTACTTGCAGCATTTATTGAAATTTATTGAAGAAGCAGCTGATTACGTTAGATATTTATTGCCACAAACTGCTTGGCAAATATAATATTTGTAAAAGAGGAGCTTATAAACACTATTGTTTTATTATTCATGTAGGAAAGCATGTGCATTACCTTTTGCTGTTTCCACACACCTAAATGACCTGTGCACGCCCTCTGCCACTAATAGAATTAAATAAAATGTGAAAAACATTTGATTTTAATGTCAAAGAAACAGCCTGAATATAAGTATGGTTATTCTTTTAAGCCAAGAAAATATGAGACAAAGCTAAGCTTTTTAATAATGTAAGTCAAAATTAAAATGGAATAGAAATGACTATGTTGCTGAATATGAATAAGTATTCCCAAATTGAATTTAATAACAGACAGTACTAAATAGAAATACATTATGCTTTCATTTCAGCTTGGAACTGAAAAGGGGTTTGAATCAAACATATACACAAGTAAATGGATTTGGTGATTACATTACTTCAGTGATAAAAAAAAAAAAAGTTAGCACCTTCTGCAATGTATAGATCTATGTTTCCGTGTTCCACACCTGATTTAAAGCTACTTGACACATGTACATTTCCATCCAGGTGATGGAATTTACCAATCCTATTACCATTGAACACTTAACCTCATATATTTCGATTGGTTGCTTATATACACATCAACTCTTATGAAATCTTCACCTATATGGCAGATCCAAATCAAAATCCTACAAGTGAAGAACTGCAAGGCCAAAACACATGTAAGAGAGCTTAAAGGGAAGTATGTTTAAGTATCTGAAACTATGCTTCTTTAGCTTAATGAGACCAACTGCTCCTACTGCATCAGAGGAATCGGCAGCAATCTGGTGGATGTTAATAGGTTTAAAGCTTTGCATCATCTTGTGGGGGAAATTGTGTGTAAAAGCTGCTTAACAGCCACTAAATTTGACAATTTTGATTTAAAAAATGACATTACAAATTTGTCATGTGATATTTTAAAGTTTAATCTTTCTGGTGTTATTGCTATATTTGTTTCATTCTAACATCAGTCTTTTTTTTTTAATGTTCCTAACTACTGACGCACAACTCAGCCCTCACTAGTGATCTTTACTTAACTGCAAGTCTATACATAGTCTATCATGTTTAAAATATCCCTGCCTATTATTTTAGCTTTCCTCTCTGAAAATGAATTTTCAATAATACCTTGTGTTAAGTGCACCTTGAGATTATGACTCATATAGATGACACATAAGCTGCCTTTCTAGTTGAGTGGATTTGTTTTATATATAACATCCAATATATAACTTGGGCGTTTCTGGGGCAAGCTGCATCACATCTGCAGTGCATCTGAAACAACCCGCCTACAGTCTTTATTTAGATTTACGTTTGATGAATAGAAAAGGTTTTTGACAGAGCATTAACTCTTAACTGAAACCCAAACAAATCTGTCAGTGCACAATCTTCTAGGTTTCATTGATTGTTTTGTAACCTCATGTTCTCCTCTCTGAACATAGATTTATTTCACTGGCTTACCTCTTCCACTTAATGGCAGAGTGCTGAACAAATTTCATTAAATAGCAATACCACAAACCTTCTGCATTAGTGCAGCCCAAACATAAGTGAACGTACACTCTCTTACATGCATGCAACCCCTCAAAACACCCAGGAGTGGATAGATGGAAAACAAAAAGTGATATTTTAAAGAGCTTTGGAATTCATGTGGTGGACGAAGCCCATTATGTCCAACAAATGGATTTCGGTCAGCTAATAAACAGTACATTTGATGCAATGTTCCCACTTCAAGGTCCAAACATCAAAACAATCCAGTGCTCCAACTCCTCTGCTGCACTGATATCATCGAAGAAAAAGGGACACTAAACTGGGATAATGGCTTTTTATGATGGATGGACAACTACAATGGAAAGAAGGATGGAGACACAAGGTGCTTGAGTCATTCTAAAGCTCAACAGTGTCTAATAAAGTAGCCCACTCTGGAAATGTTTACAAACCAGGACTATCACCAAAGCCAAGCAAACATCCTGTAGATGTAACACTGCAACAAAGTGAGTGGACAAGACAAATCTTTACCCAGATACGTGCTACTGTCAACAGCTGTTTACCGTAGATCAGCTGAAAGACTGGAAACAAACAAAGAGTGACTTTATTTGGCTTTTATTACAGATAAAACAAAAGTCATGCAGTCATCTGGTAAAGTGTCAAAGACGGTAGGGACAATGATACTTTTCCGCACCTCTTTATCTTTGGATTCAAGGTTTTTCAGTCACAAAGGTGCCACAGTTGAATAGAATCAAGAACCTAGTCACTGAGTCTGTATTTGCAAACAATAAGTCCATTTGTGTGTTCCATGCTCAAATGTATGTGTGGAAGTGGAAGTGTTTACCAACGACAACAACTCAGTCACCAAGAAAAAAAGCCACATAAAGTCACCAATGTTTCTCCAAAACTCCTCTTGGCATTCACATCGGGACAAAAACTGTGTGCTGGGAGCTTCGTAGTATGAGCTTCCACGGCAGAGCAGCTTCTCCAGGTGTAACGTGTAGGTAGCTCAGTACTTTTGTTCATGTAATGTATAACAACTGATAGATAACTAGTTTAGCTTTTTTCCAGTTAGCAAACTAAGTATTTTATGAAAATTAAAATCTGAAATTTAATGAATGATCTACAATATCAAGACATGGTGAAAGCCAAATTACACAAATATATAATATATAATAAATATAGCATAGAATTATTAGTTAGGGTACGTCTTTTCCTCAGTGATGACAGACATCACTGGATTTAAATACACAGTGATACATCAGTAGCATTTTACAGTTAAAATTACTTAAGGAAGTAAGTAGTACTAATGACAACACTGAGACTTAATAACAGTTTATTGAGACTATCCGTATAGACTTACTTTTAAAAAACAGCATCTTTATAACCATGCCCCATCTGGAGTGACCCATCTGTCCCAGAGGCAGAACAGTGACAAATTGTACATGGCAGCAGCAGTGTACAAATGAAACAGGACAGACTGTGATGAGAGATGGAGATATGGTTTGTTTCAGTGTGGTCCATGAGAGATGCTGTTTTTTTCTTTTGTTGGGGGTTGGGTGTGGGCGATGGGGGTGGGGTGAGTGTTAATACACAGTGGGGCTTTTAAAGACTCCCCACATGTTGAATGGTCATCTAAATACTATAAACATGATACATTTATAGAGAAATCACAAATAAGCCTAGCTATTGGGTGGGAGTTCTATCACTGTGATTGGTTTAATGGTAATAAATAAGATGATGAGCAGAATAGCGGCAAAAATAATTTTTTTATTTGTTTTATTATCTATAGTGCAGGTAAAATGATCAGAAAAATTGAAAAAAAAAATCTTTACTTTTCACACTCTGTGAAAATCATTTTAAACTTTGCATCACGTGCATTATACAGCCACACCAAAACACCTTCTCAGGAAGGGAAGTTGGGTATCAGTGATGTTTGAAGCTTCATTCTGAATGAGGCAGAGCCATTGCATATGGAGTTGCACCTGTTGTCCATGTTTAGTCCTGTCTTTTGGATTCAGTTGGCCTGCATCTTGTTTCTTTATGATCAGCTTATTCAGCAGGCCATCCATCAACATTTGAGAATATAAATACATCATCTGAAGGAACAGCCCAATTACGCAAAGACAAAACGTATGATTAGCCACCTTGGCAACAGCAACTATGTAAGAGCAAGGTTCTTGATAGCAGAGGTGTTTCTGGTATATTATAAATAGCATGGCACAGGGAAAAGCAAGAAGGGGTTGGGGGGAGGGGGTCCAGTGGAGAAGGTTGGAGTTGTGTTGTGGTTAAAGTGCTGTGAATGATTTTGGAGCACAGGTTCAGTCCTGATGCAGGTAGTGTTACATAAAGTGGCGACTCTTGCAAAGTACCAAGACAATATGGAAAATGATGCAAAAGTCAGTTTTCATGATTTTAAAAAAATATTGAAAACCATTAAATACTGTGTTCTTTTTCAGCAAGATTTGCACCATGAAGACCAGACTAGGCTGCCTGTCCCACAAATCTGACTCCTACAATGACTTCTCAGAATTCCTGCCTCCAGCCCACGAAACCACAGCCAGGTGTCTGAAGTGAGTTTGCCAGAAAACAAGCCTTCCTGTGTTGGTTTTATAATACTACAAATTATTTTTGTGCTTGACCTGTTGTTGTGTGAAATAATTAGAATTATCAGACCTTTCAAGGAAAAGTTGCCTTTAAGACTTCCTTTAATTTGAGGTGATATGAATGTAATTTATTGCTTTCCATTTGAGCAGTATGTCGGCAAAAGTATTATACATTCTGAGAATGACACAAGTATTATTTTTATTATTATAGTTATTATTATTAATGCAAGTCCTAAGTCATAACATATTTGCAAGAATCACCCTTGGCATTTACTAGAGGAGATAACTTCAGCAGTGCATGTCCCGCTGTAATGACTGTATGAATGTTACTGCTGCACTAAACCATTGTTTGTTTGTCTGCCCAACCTAAGTTGGCAAACAAATGCACTTTAGGCTTCGAAACTGTCTGATTCTTATCTATATCAGATATTATGATATCATCATATTGCCTAGCACCCACCTATCAACTGGCTGAAATTTATAGCATGTATAGCATTTTATAACATTGTCTTTGGTCAGTTTAATTTCACCACAATGACATGTAATATATCAAAATAATATAATAATATTATATAATGTTAAATATAACCATTTTTGGTATTTCCAAATTGTGTTTACGCCCTCGAAATTACATTATATCATATGACATATTATGAAGTCAAGCTTACTGTACTTTGGGGTTACATCAAAACTTTAATGTTGGATCAGTAACCTTCTAAATGTATGTTAGGCGATGGCATTTCAAGCCGTGTGAATTGATCTAGCCAACCTTCCAGTCTTTTTTTAAAGCATGTCCAAGAAATTTCTTTGTCAGGTGCATGTTACTCATATGTACAGGTTCACCATAATGCATGTAAATACAGATTCATGGTGGAAATGAAAAAGTCCTCTTTTATAGATCTGCTTACAAAGTATTTCATTGAATTTAATCTTACATGCCACTTTTTATGATTTTTATTCTTTTGACAATGAAACACACAGTCCCTTAATCATATACAGATTACTTACTTACATGTTGCTGCATATAAATAGACATTGAGTTCCATATTTATCTTCATATATATATATATATGTATATATATATATACATATATATATATACCCCATTTTTTAAAAATCTTTTCTCAATGTCATTAACTGCACAGACAGAGCAAACTGTACAGCATAATTGTCTGTTTAACATAGACCTTTTTGCACTTAGGCTAGTAGTAATCAAATAAATATTATTTTGGCCAGTTGGAAAAAAGGTACACTGTCAGATGTTCTAACACATCCTCACTAAAGTAACTTGTGGCATTGTTTTAAAATATTTCAGACTGCTTTGCACATGCTGTGGAAGACATTAATCATTTAATTGTAGCTCTGTTGTCTCCTCCAATCTTTAAAAGTAACCTGTTATTTGAAATATTTTATGGCCTTGAGAAGAAGAATTAGTATGAGGAGGAATTAATCATGCATTAAACTCAGCTGCCATTCAAGAATTTATATAAAACACTGCAGGGGACTCAAAATGCATTAAAGCATAGTTGTTGATTAGCATGTAACTGAGGCACTTCTTTTTGTCTTTCTCTCCATCAGACTATCAACCGATGAAGTTGTTCGATGGTCTGAATCATTCGATAGCCTCCTCACTCATAAGTGTAAGTGGACACTTTCTATTTTCTGTGGGAACAGTTCATACTGCACAGAACACTCATAGCCAGCCCCAAGAAAATGAAAGCCACCTTATACAGAAGTAAACAAGCCCCTTCCAGTTTCTTTAATACTTTCCTTTTTTCACTCAGGAAAAACAAATTTTACTGTTCTCCTCTCAAGCCCATGTTATGCAAGTGTGTCATTTCTTTGTTGTTAAGAGTCCGTGCCGCATAATGAGTCACATCCTCGTCTTTGACCTTCCCCTTGGACCAAAAAGACAGCAGCACGCACTCACAACTCACATGTCTGTCTGCACAAATGGGTCATGGATTTATTTTCTGCTGACAAACCATGTGACGTAGCATCTTTGACAGAAAACTCTAAACTAAAAGAGTAAAGGGCACATTCATTTGGTGAGAGTCGGATCAACTCAAATCAAATTCGAACATTTTCCTCCTACAATTAGGATGCTCGTGTCTTGCTGAACCTCAAAGGTCAAATCAATTTTTTTTTTTACTGATATAGAAATCAATCGTCGTTTGTAGGAAGTGAACGTTTAATCTAGGCTGATTGAGGTCCTATCCACGTTTCCTGGAACAACTCAAAATCTTGGGTCAGTCAACTAGTACTGGATGAGTTTAATGATACCTTTGGGACTGTTGACCCCAAGTAACATTTGATGAGCTGACAGCTTTGTCTTCCTTATTGTACATATGCATACATGAACATAGATCAAGCACACAATTTACAACATATGCTTCCCTAAAAATGGTAATAAAAACACTGTATACCTGTCCAGTTATATGACCAATGATTGTGGCAGTAATGTGTCAGTATCTGTAGCAAGGTGAGAGAAATACTATAAAAAAAAATTTTGATAAAGAAGCACATGAGGTTATAACTAGCTATTTGTTTGTCTTTTTTTGCCAATTAATTTGCCAAATATTGTCTCAAATAATTAAAATCATTGTTTTGTTATACATGAATATAACCAAACATGAGTGAGCTTGAACTGCTGGATATTGGGTGAATGATGAATGTCTAAAACCATAACGTGATTATCCCAGTAGTTCGATTACAGGAAAGGTTTAGGGTGTCCATCATTGTATCATTTCACTTTTTTAAAGTTCACCCAGGACCATCTTTATTTTTAGTGTCCTTGCTAACTAAATGTCAATCCACAGTTACCCTCTTTTTTTGTTTTTTAATTGAAATGCTAGGTGAATGCTTTAGCTGGGTGTCTGTGAATTTTGTTCTTAGTACTATTATATGAAATTCATTCATCTTTACATACAGTACAATTTAGGGCTTTTCCAGGTGAAAGATACCAGGGTTTATGAGCAGTTACAAACCTGGCAGATTAAAAAACACATATTTCCCTCTGTTGTTTCCTCATCATTTCATCAGCAAAGACAATAAAGAACAAGACTTTAAAACACACCATAATTCTCATACATACACCAAAACTGAAGTGCTATCCAAATCAATGTATCCTTGTTGCACAGTGTTACTTGCACTTTTAAGATTGCTGTCAGTTAATAGACACTGAAATATTAACAAGTCAGTAATATGCGTGTAGTTATTAGTGTGTTTTGGACAAGATTTTTGCAAAAATTAATAAGCGTTGGAGTCCAAAGGGTGGGTGGCAACAGCTGCATCCCAGTTTTGTTCAGTGATGAACTCCATAACACTAGGCTAACAAATGGTAGTCTTGAAAAGTCATACTCACTTGAACAGCTTCATTAAAATTGAGGTTATGACATAACACATCAGTTTGACACACAACAAAATAATGTTTCCCAGGCAAAACTAGAGGATTTCCCTAGACACAGGGAGCATGATGCACCTGTGCATCCTGTTTCCACTGACCAAGCATTAGAGCAGCACACTACAAAATGTAGATACAAACACACACATATTTGGATTACATAAGTGATGTTAAATCAATAGGAACAGAGTGCTGGATGTTCCTGTAATAAGGTATTAACCTTAATTTGCTTTAAAAAGAATACTGTGTGTTTCATCTGGATGCATTCAACCTGTGGGCACTGTTAGCTATATGTGACTTTTTAGAACAAAATAACAAGCAATACCCTTTTTTATGCATAACAGATTAGGAGAAAAAATACCGAGAGGAAAAAAACGTTAATGTTTCTGTACCAGAAATGTCTAAAAGGGTTAGGACAGGAGAAATATAACTTATGGTCCACAACTTTCTTAAGGATTTAGCAAATTGATGGAGGTTTCGAAATGGGCTGTAAATGTCTGAAATGGTGGGATCTGGGGAGAGGTTTTAAAGCAAAAGGATGACAGTGACTGTTTTAAAGAAATCTGGCATGCACACAGAAGATAGAGACAGGCTGATAATGGACAGGAGGTGGAGGTGATAAGTAGAACCTCATTTGCAACGAATATCAATTGGGCATGAAGAAGTGCACATATGCAAACTATATCTGGCAGATCTGTCATGGAAATAGGAAGGATAAAACTCAGACAATGGGGTGGGCTGAGACACTTGGACAGATTGGAAGGTTCCTGGCTTGAACTGTGATCTGATACCATTGACCTTACCAGCAAAAAAAAAAAAAAAAAAATCACAGTCATGGTAGGAAAACCAGATTGAGTCTGGTGATGGTGTCTAACAGGAACCTAGAATTGTGCCTATGTGCTTGTTAGTGCTTATATAGCCATAGAAGTGGATTGCTCGTGTATCTTTAACGTAAAACAGGTTTATTTTTGTTTCATTTATCTACAAACAACCTTCAAATAACACAAAAAATCTGCAAAACGACCTAAACGTAACAGTTCATGTGCAAAAACCTGACATCATCCTATACTTGTTTAGAGACAAATATGGCAAAACGTCCATTAAGTTGATATCCAACAGTGATTTAGTGTTACTGGAAATGTTTAGCTCCAGTTCTCGCACTCATTTGTGATGAACGAGGTCCCAAATGATACAGAAAACATATTCATATTCTTCTGTCAGTCATCCTCAAATAAATGAAGTGTGATACTTTTTGTCTCATTTGGTTTAATTGAGTTCGCCTTTTTTTTGAAAAAAAAAAATGTAAGATTTTTTTTCTCATGCTTTTGTTGGTAAGAAGAACAAAAAATTGTAATGTGTTTACAAATTTTTAAGCACCACAGTAAGCATATATGCTGTTCGAGGCCAATCAAAACAGTATTGCTGCATTGCACTGTGTTAAGAGGTAAACAGCAGAAAGGGTGGAAATGACATGTCAGCATGACACAGGCACATAGAAAAACATGCCCCACTTCTCATAATGTCAACAGGGAGCACATTAATTACTCACTTATCTTGGCTGACAAAAATGTGTTCTCTTTGTTGGAATATTTTGTTCTGATTTATTTATGCTGTAACTATAATACAATTTCCTGCTTATGTTCATCATACACCAAAAGATAATAAAGGGTCAAATGAGCTGCTGTACAGAAACGTGAGTCTTATGTGTTTTTATATTTTACATTCTTTAACTTTTTGATTCATTTTTTTTTTTTTGTTCTCAGATGGGCTGGCAGCTTTCCGGACATTTCTTAAGTCAGAATTCAGTGATGAGAATATTGAGTTTTGGATGGCCTGTGAAGACTACAAAAAAATCAAGAGCTCAGCTAAGCTGGTGTCAAAAGCAAACAAGATATTTAAGGAGTTTGTTGAGGTTCAGGCACCAAGAGAGGTGAGTTAATGCAGTTTTCTACAGACTTGACTATTAATTTTAAACCCATGATTCACTACTTTAAACCCATGATAAACCCAGTCAAAAGAAATTAAAAGATTCTTATCATGGTAACAGGATAGTGATGTATGACAAGGAAGGATAGCAGCAAGACTGAAAGGGAAGATTTACAAGATGGTAGTGAGACCTGCTATGATGGTTTGGCAGTGTCACTGACAAAAAGACAGAAGCTGGCACTAAAGGTGGCAGCGCTGAGGATCCTAAGATGTCCACTGGGACTGACCAAGATGGGACTGACCACTCAGGTTGAGTGGTTTGTAGAAAAGGTTTGTAGGCAAAGAGAGATAAGACCAAAATTGGTTGCACATATACTGGAGAGTATGGATAGGGCATATTTTGGGAAAAGGATGTTGCATATGGAGCTGCCAGGCAGGAGGAAAAGAAGAAGACCTCAGAGAAGGTTCATGCATGTAGTTAAGGGGGACATTTTATTATTCATTATGACAAATTAACAAACTGACTATTACATTAATGAAAGTAAATGACTCTTTTCTTCAAAATTATTCTTTCCTCTCTTTGTCCTGGCAGATTAACATTGACTACCGTACCAGGGAGAAGACTAAGCAGAGCCTGGCGGATCCCACCCCAACCAGCCTCAATGAAGTCCAAGGTAAAATCTACAGCCTCATGGAGAAAGACTCCTACCCACGGTTTCTCAGGTCCAAGATGTACCAGGATATAGTCAACAGGGCACAAGCGCGAGGACAACGAAGGTCTGTTTGACAAACAGTGGCAATAAAACTGGACCTTTACTGTAGATCATTTATCCTTTGAAATCTCTTAATACTGTGAATCTGCAAGGATGGGGGTGACCTGCTTGACTGTTTCCTTTATCAACACCAGCTCCATGCATGCAATCCCTCTAGATAAAACGTGTCTCTGTGGACTGCAATATACAATACAATGAGTGTGGATGATTATAAGCTAATGGTTTGCTGAGCAATCTGTCTGAAATATCAAAATAAAAGTACAGTATCATGCAATAATGATAGTTATCACAATATTTGCTATGTTTTGTTAGTTCTTTAGCTATGTAAGTTATTTATTTTTATATCAGTCATGCACTATGTGATTATAGGCTATAGACTCAAATAAAAGACTCAAATAGAGACTGGTAAGTGGTGGTTTGAATTGATATATGCATTTCTGTAGTAAAGAAACTTTACAGTCAATAAAGAAATCAAATGAGTTGTTCAAATAGTCCTAAAAGCAAAAGAAAACCTTTATGGTAATCTCCATGTGCACCTCTGGATTGTTACTGCTTGATCACTACATGGAAATACAGTTGTGACCAACTGTGAACCTGTGATTTCACAATGGTCCTTAGACTTGAGAGACCAGACACCAAACTTCATATCACAGCAAGTAGTTGGATTATGACCAAGAACATATCTGTGTACGTGTGTGTGTGTGTGTGTGTGTGTGTGTGTGACTGATTACTATGGTTGTGCACTGTGAATTTTCAAAATCCTAACAGTGAACATTCTGCAACATGAATCTGAAGCTTTTTGGCCTTGCCAACTCTATTTTTTCTCACCAGCTGCCTACTTCCCAAATTTGACTTGTCCAGTCCAAGTAGTCATGATGTGACCACTTGGACTGATCTGCAAAAAGCAGATAAAACTAAAACTGAGTTATTATTTATTATTTATTTTTATAACTGAATTTTCTTTCTTTCTTTCTTTCTTTCTTTCTTTCTTTCTTTCTTTCTTTCTTTCTTTCTTTGATCGCACCTTTGTTTACCTCCGTGATTGCAGTTGGTCAGAAATTTGTAGGAAGTTTCATAGCAAAATAAATGATTTGTCTGGTTGTGGCCCGTTCACATTCTTTTACATATATTACAACCAGTAACTGTTCCTAACCTGAATGGTTATTACACATAGAAACCAGGTGTTGGTTTAAGCAACACATTTCAAGTACTCATTGGTTGAAATAAATTTATATAATAATTTAATAAATAAAGTTTTCCTGGATAATAAACAGCACAGGTTATATATAAGTCACTGGGTGGCCTACATGTTGTATGTTCTTTTCCATCTTATGCATCTATTCCCAACCCTCTCTTTGTGGACTTTGCAGCCCTGCATCATCCTTCTTATTTGCTTTCATTATATTACTCTGCTAAGTAGAGGGTGCTATCACAATAAAACATGGGTCACAGCAAGCAGCACAAATGTTGTGCAGGGTGTCTTTTTCAATGGGAAGAGGGTCTCTCTGCTTTATTTTCTCTCTTTTCAAGAGTTCACTGGATTTATGAATATTTCTGATATATTTTATCACTGAGGAAACTATATTGTGGTAATTATCATTATTGCTTTATTGCTCAGCCCTGCCACTACTTGTCTTACCTCGTCTGTGAAATAGACACTGTTGTATGCAGGTAATTATACCTGCTGTGGTAGTTTGTGTGTTTACAATGAACAACTAAGTGAGTGACCACTTAATATCTGAAACTGTGCCAAAATAATCAATTGCACTTCGATGTTGTTATTGCATAATACTGTGTATCTTAAACTGCAGGTAATCTGTCAGCTCATTTCACTCAGCTCAACAGACAGAGTTTAGCTTTCACTTCGGTTCTAAATGATAAAAATTGTTTAGGCAGTCAAAGATTCCCAAATCAGATTCCTTTCATCATTTCTGGTGATTTGGTCGGTTTAAAATGTGTTACTGAACTGTAATGAGTTTTTTACGGATTATCGACTAGCAAAAAAGTTTGCAAGTAGAGTTAAAGAGTAATTTAAATTCCATTCTATAATGGATTGGTACCTAATTAACCAAAACAAGCAACATAAACAGCAGACGTTCCATCAAGGTTACAGTGAAATACAATGTCCTGCTGATACTCTTCCACTGAATTCCATCCAATCTTTGCTGAAAATAGTTTTCTGCATGATGCAATACTCAGATTTACTGTTTATATATTCTTAAACATGTACAGTATGTTAAACAAATACTGCAGATAACTTTATTTATAATATGTCAGTGTGCTCCTTCAGCATTTGATGTGTTTCTGCATTAGATGTGCTCCTTAACCTACCAATCCTTTAAATGAATTAAATGCAAAACTTTCCTGAGCACTTAAAGAGTGGTAAATATTTTCTTTAGTGCATGTGTACCACATAGGCCAGCCTGTTTGAAATGCCAGAAAACGGATAAAGACTAAAAAAAAGCATACTGCCATATATGGTATGTTACTGTGCTCCACATGAATGTAATCTCCCTCTTCTTCTTTTTGCATTAAAAAAGTTAATCTGCATTTATTGTTGCTCTGTGTGACTTCATTCTCATTATACCAAAATGGTATTAGAGTTATGAAAATGCACTCATCCACTGATCAGACACACAGACAGACGGGTTGACCTCGTTTCCCAGCCATTTTATAACAGCAATGAAAGCAGACCAAAACATTTCTAATTAATGAGAAGCCACTTCTCCATCTGCATGATTCACACCTCTGTTAAAATTAAATGTTTGAAGAACAGATTCAAAATTGCAAAATTGTTGGTTGTTTCAATTTTGCTTTTTGTATTAGAAGACTTTGCATGCTAAATATTCAGTGAATACAATCTATTGAGCACATGTGCTAATGACTTTTCAGTCTTTCTCACATAAATTCAAAGAAGTAAATGAGCTGAATGTAATTGAATAAAGAAGAGAAACGTACATTTCTTTATTTCTTTAAATTTAAATGATTAATTTTAAAAATGAAGCAATAGGACTCTTATGTATATGCCATAAACTAACCTACAAACATCCTGAACCACAAACAGCTACATGCAAACTTTATGTCATGATCAATTTTAATTCCACTTTTTATATTGAGTTTGAAATTCCCAGCCACATCAACAATTTCCATTTTGTTCTTTCTAGCATTAAACATCCTTGTCCAGAGAACAGTGATACTTCAAAACATTTAGAATTATTCTATAATCATTTGATGTTTGATATTTGATTATTTGATGATCACATTCAAGAATTACAGTTACCAGTTATTAAACTCAGAGTCGATCATTTTAATTCACAATAACTACTACTGCAATTCTAAACTAAATTAAAATGCGTGCTGATGGGTTAGGTATGGAGAACTTTGTTCAGCATCTTCACCTCTCATCCTATGCTAAGTAAGATTTTTTAAGTTTTATCAGCAGTGATTCATATGATGACTGATGACTAGATGACTTAGGTTTTTTTTCTTTTAAAAGTAAGCAAAGAGCAGAAGCATCGTCAAACATTCATGATACTATTTTTACTTAGTTGAAACTACCACATATACCTTGTATTTGGGGCACTCGGGTGACGCAGTCGCCCCCTGCCCCATTACACATCCATTTACTTTACTGTTGTTGTCAATGTGTTAGTCACTCTGGGAATGAAGAGCAGTCTGAATGTGGGACAGTGCCCTGCTCAGTAGACACAACACAAGCCTATCTGGGCCAGCAGACTGCAAGCAGTCAATGCATATCTCACAACGGAAGTAACTGCAAGCAGAGCATCAACTCAACACATTATGACCAGTCTTGTCTGTGGTTATGAAAGTGTAAATTACAGTAATGTAATTGAACATAAGAGATAGAGTAAACTACGTGAAGGTGTTCCTGGAGCTTTCGAAGCGATCCATTATGACTTGGTGCTCTTGCAGCTGTAAAAGCATTGTACTTGTGTAAAAATTGAATATTTTGTCTAAAAGGAAAACATGCACTTTTTAGAAAAAAAAATAATATCAGGGCGTGTGAGTCCCTGTGCAGAAACTAGATTTCTACAGTAAATGTACAGGACAATCATAAGGCTTTATATGCGTCTTGACCAGTTGTTGCTCTACAAAGATAATTTGGGTGGTTTGCAACAAACGGCAAATTGTGGCTCATTTTCTATAATCTTCTCCTATCTTTCCATCTATTCTTTCGCTTCAAAATATATTTTCTGTTTCTCAATCAGTCTGTATTTCTCTAGTCTCTTAATCAATAGTAAGCACAATACCCATGGCGAAGCATTGCCCTGACTATGGATAATGGTGAGGACGAGAGAACATTTAATTACTCCTCCTGTTCAGCCCTGAGACAAACAACAGAAGCAGTGTCGGGAAAACAACAAAGCATATTGGATTGCCTGTTTTGCAACAACCTGAAAAAAAACCCATTTGTTTCTATTAGGTAACCTTCACTGGTAATGGGAGATGTACTATAAACACGAAGATCCATTTTGTGCAGGAACACAAAAAATACAAAAACACAGAATGTTTTAGCCATGTGTTTTGTTTTTATGGTACATTTACTATGCATTTCACTCCTCATCCCATACATCAAAACAAGGAAAGACTGATGCACCCGACTTTACACAGACCCAACGATGTGTAGTAGAGATACAAGCTAACTTGGGGATTGGAGTTGTTACTGTGAAGGAATATATTATACATTAATTGTTAACAGTGTTGAGGCTAACATAATACAAACTAACTCCTTAGAGTACTTTTTAATAACACAATATGTTTATTGTTCATTTAAGCTATTAGTTGTTTAATCACTTTTCAAATAAGCAAGCCATTAGGATTAAACATTTACAGCACTTCCCAATCCAATAGACTTCTTAGTCTGTGGCATTTTGTTCTTGCTCTCCTTGACATCGGGTGAATGCTTGTGCTAAAAAAAAGGCACAGGAAAGGGCGCCTAATGATGATGAACTTATGTAACACACTTGATGTAACTGTTTGTAAAAGCTGCATTTTGGAACATTAATGCATTATTTCACAGCAATACAGTGACATCATCAATATACATTTAATTTATCAAAGTGCCATACATTATTTCTTTTTGTAGCATTTAGCAGTGACAAAAGCGTATCCACATGAGTGGTTGGAAGCTGTGACACCAGGAACTTGCAAACTTGCTGCCTTTAAAATTATTCAAAGATGGGTACGAAGTCTGTGACTATTCAAATTAAGCTGCCATTTTGACACACCAAAGCAATTTTGGTGCAATAAACTGTCTGTTTGTAGCTGAGAGTGGTCAAGTTAGCAATTATAAGTAATCTGTTTAAGATAATAATGGCGAAAATCTACAAAAATCATAAACCTGTTACTATGTACATGCAGAGAAACTCACATTACACAGATATTCACATTCTTACAGTCAGAGTGGTGTTAAACATAAGACCCAGGGGCCAAAATCGGCCCCACAATGACTCCAGTCCAGCCCACTGAATGAGTGAAGGAGGGCAAAGATTTTGGACTTTTGAACAATAGCGTTACTTTATCAAAAAAAGGAAAAAGAATGAATGGTGCTGTTGAAATTAAACCATTTCTTATAGAAAAGGTGAGTTATCCTATAGATTAAATGTAACAGGAAGAGGACTTTCACTGGTCCGGCCCACTTAAGAACAAAGTGGGCTGTATGTGGGCCATGATTTAAAATATGTTTGACACTTCTGGTCCAGCCAGACCCAGAATTGAAACTGAAATGTCTCCACAACCAGTGATGTAGCTGCTGCAGGATAGTGATTGATTGCCTCCTACCAGGTGAAACACTGAATTGCCTTCCAATCAAGAGTACTCACATGAACCTCTGGGTGACCAGTTGGTTGCTTATTTATTTGTGAATGAAAGCAAAAATATTTGAATGCAATCATTGAGCAACCCACAGTTTTTTTCTAGTCACACGGATGTTGATATTTTCATATTCATATTTTTGATCCAGTGTGAATGAGGCTGTCTTTAACGTCCAACTCTAAACACAAAGCAAGAAAAATGCTGATTTATTTTAAATTCACAGTGATACAGCATTATATCGGCTATAAGCATGTTCTTTTGTAATTTGGAAATCAAATTGTAACATTTTTTTATATAAGCTAATGCATTTGTGTGTCAGCTCCTATTTTTTAGTTACAACAGCCTGTAGGAGCAATAATACCTGCTGCTCTCTGATATTGTCATTGCTGACTGTTTGTTAGGATCTCCAAGGTAGCAGGTACATTCATACTGTGTGCATGTGATGTTGACAAGAGTCAAATATCAACGGTGTTGTTGTCTGGGCCTGATATTTCACAACCCAACCGTGGGGATACAGCGGGGAAAACAACAAAGCCATCCAGCTTCAAGTTAATGATTAGCAGTGATTTCTCCAAGGCATGCTCTGCTGGTAAAGGACCACATACAAGTCTGTCATTTCACTGCAGGAGGTGCTTTTGTTGGGGGAGCATCATATGTTATTCATTGCTGTGAAATCTGTTTCAGCTCAGCCAGATAACCCTGCTCAGCTCTCATTACAGTCTACATTTTCACAATATACACACACCACACATATACATACAAACACACACTTGTAAAACGGAATGCATTCTGAAAGGGTTTATAATACCACTGGCCTCTATCATTAGCACAGTATTGAATCTAGAGGGGACTGTCTGTATCTCAACTGTGCTCTTCACTTTATTTTTAGACAACTCAAATTAGGTCTGAACAAATGATTTGGAGTGTGGTAGAGTTTACTCCCCAAAATATTTTTCTATTATGTAACAGATAGACAAGAAACCAGCTCACAGATGAAACAGCACAGTAATATCACGTACAAACACAGTAATGGGGTAGTTTTAATATGGGAATGTATTTAATACATAATGAAAACGTAATGTGTTTATTATTAAATTGATTGATTGATTTTATTTTATTTATTTATTTTTTCGAAGGCCTAGACCCAGTTCTGTTCCTCCAAAGATGGATTCTGCCATTTTTGTGACATGTATTACTGACCTGTCAAAACATTTGGTAAATATATTCATGTTTCCAAAGGTTGAGTTTCCATTTTATGGCACCTGCAAGACAAAATGGCTTGGGACAAGCTAAAGATCATTATGGCTTCTTGATAGTGAATCCCTGTGCAGTGGTTTTTCATCTTGCTCCATCATGAGCTGAAATTTTTAATTTCCCCTTAGTTTAATTAGTAGACAAACATCTGCCAGATTAATGACATTGCCATCAATGAGAATTCACTATGAATTACCAAATGTTAGCATGCACCAGCATAAAGTCAAGTGACACGTGGGCATTGGTGGGCATTGCTTGTTTCACGCTGGTATTTTATCTTTGTGATTGTAAGTGTGTCACAATGACTGACAGCTGTTAGTATAAGCAGTCGTTTTTAAATCAGATCTGCAATGCCTGTAACTGTATACTGGTGCACCAGCCTTCTTCTATAGTTCCTAGTCACAAGTGATGAAATTTAAGAATGCTAATCATGTAAGCGGTGTAAACATGTAAATCACAAT